GTAAAGCCTGCCGCACAGCGGTGTTGTTTTGTGGGCTGCGCCATGCTGGGCCAGCCGCGGTGCTGATGGGCGCAGCACAAAAACACACGGTGGCGTGTGCGCGGTGCAGAAACTACAGACTATCCTAGCGATTCTTGCGTGTGGAAAAATATCAGCAGCCGTGTTTTGATATTTTCTTCCACGTGTGGGCAGATTCCACCACCGTGTGCGGTCGGGGGCCTGTGTCAAGTTCCACACCGGCTCCTAATGTATACGCGCGGACCAATAGGCTAGGCAGGTCAAGCGAGTCACGGGTCCGCTGATTCTTACTTGCGGCTGCAGCGCGGTTGCAGCTGAGGTAGGCACGCACGCGTAGCACGCAGATCACGTGCACGTAGAGGCTACGCGGGGTATACGCACGTTATAAAACAGAGGACGTACCAAAAGCGAAAAGGCGAGACACCACAAACCCCATACAGTCAGCACCGCGGGTAGCACGCACGTGCACGCGGGTACACGCACGTAGCACGCGGGGTACAGCGCACGTAACACACGCAACGTACAGCGCGCACGTACACGCGGTACACTCGCGCGGGGAAAGCGCGGATACACGTACGTACACGCACGTACAGCGCACGAGTTACACGGCGGGTTAGCACGCAACGTACAGTCAGATACACGCACGTACACAGCAGATAGCAACGCACGGTCACGCGGGTATAACACGCACGGTGCGCGCGGTACACGCACTACAGCGCGGGTGCTACGCCCGGATACACGCACGTACACGCAGCGTACAGCGATCCACGCAACAGTACCGCGGTAGCACGCGGATACGATGCGGACGTACCACGGCGGTACACGGGCAGCGTACACAACAGATACACACAATGTACACGCGGGTACACGCAGGTAGCACGCACGTACTACGCGGTACACGCGGATACACGCACCGTACACGCGGGTTACCCGCACGGTACACACCGATACACGAGGGCAGCGTACACGCGGGTACAACAGCACGTGCACGCGGTACTACGGCACAAACGTACAGCGGGTACAACGCGAGATACACGCACGTAACGCGGTAGCAACGGTTTGTGAACAATTTAACGCTACTAAAGTTCTTAATTATACATATAAACCATACCTTGATGCTTCCCCGCATATAATAAGTACTCTAGTAGCCTAGCAGGCAAAATCACGCCACCACGCCCGGTGCCAAAGCCGCGTGTGCCCACTGCTTGAAGAATCAAGTTCGCTCCCCACTACCAGAGCATATTTATAACACACACACGCTCACACACAAATACACACACACATACGTACGCACGCACACACGCACACACATATATTATAATATATATATACATACATAATTATATAGATAGTATGGGTATATATATATGTATGGGTAAATATACATATATAAACATGGTATGGGCTTAGCACGAGCAATGTGGTGGGGGAAGACTTGATACTGCAGCCATTGTGTGTGCCCAGCGTAACCACTGTACATTTACGTCATAGACTACTGTTTTAATTATAGTCTGTGAGTCAGTCTGTCGTTGGGTATTTGCATAGATATATACAACACGTGTTGTATTATATCTATGGTGTTTGTAAGTTTACGCCAGCACACCTAGCGGAAGTGAACTGAATCGTGCATGTTTTCCAGAAAGATTTTCCAATAGATTTTCGAAATATGGTTTTTTTAAACATTAAACCCAATAAATAACAAAAAGAAAAGTGTTACAATCGAACCTGATGCGTAGGAATGAAGCACGAAAAATTTCAGCCGGATTCGTGCACGCGCTTATAAGTTATGCAGGAACAAACAGAACGACACTACTCAAATTATTATATAGATTACTATTACTGTTACGATATCAGATTCATGTACCATATATGTACATCGTTGATGACGTCACATAACAACATATGAGCATTATTAAAATGGCTACCTATAACTCATAACGTGGTTAGGCATTGCCTCCTTATTATAGGCCATCCGGCACGCTTCACAATTACTATTACTATTACTATTACTATTACTATTACTATTACTATTACTAGTACTATTACTATTATTATTACTATTACTATTACTACAGGCAAAGGTCAGGGACCCGTTGTCAGAAACAAAATTAATCTTAACATTAGTCTTAACATTGCCTCCTAGACCGTTGGCAGAAACATCGTAAAGTCACGAGAGAACGAAAAATCCCAGCAAATCTCCTCTTAACATTACGAGATCGTAGCCCTCTCGTAACTTAGAAATCAAGATGAAAATAACGCAATTACACGAAGAATTGCCATAATAGTGATATGATATTTTAAATAAATTAGTAAAACATGTGTTTTCATGAAAACCACGTCAGAAACACCACTTATCTACAGATCGTGTACCGAAAATGTACAATAAATGTGTATGAATTAGAGTTTGTGATTAACTCTCATCCAATCAGCAGCCGTGTGACAGCAAATTATGAAGTTCCTGTTGTCGTAAGTATTCTCATAGCTGCGATGCGTTTCCGTCAACGCTACTCTCGTAACACTCACATTAGTTGTAAGCGTTATCTTAGCATTCACATTAGCCCTATCTTTACGATGTTTCTGACAACGGGCTATAATAATGTCTTTGTTCACTGATATAATATATACGGCGCATATATTTACGGCACATGTATAACGTTAATAGTTCTGCGTTGACAGTTACATGCCGCGGTGTAAATAACCTCATAACCTCAAGAACAACGAGAAGAAAACATCAACATTAAGGCGTACTTACCCCTATCGTGACAAAGATGCGTTGCGCGGATGCTTGACAAGGCGTCCAGATGAGGCGCGTCCATGAGCACAGGATAGTGAAGCTGGAACTTTAGAGAGGAATGGTTAGCTCGTTCGATACAACCGGGTCGTAGATGCAACATAGACAATGCAAAAAAGCATTGGCGTTTCGCGCTTGAAAGGAGCGAATTGGCTGTATGCCTAAAAGAAAATGAATCTGCTGTGGAACTGGTCGGAGCTCAGCATCCCCGCGTTTCACACGCACAAACATATGGCATGCGAACGCACGATCGCACGCTCGAACGCACATGACACCGCATTTACCAGCCCACATTCTTTCATTTTTGTTGCATAGTAGCTCAACAGCTATTACGCAATCTCGGGTTAACTGAACTTAGGACAGGTTATCTAGGGACAGGTTTCGTCGCATCGACCCCGCCGGTGTGCGCATGCTCACCTACACTCTCCAGCTCCGTCTGCTACTCTCGTTACGCGCACGCGGGTAGCCGCATATCCCGGCGCGTCTGCGCGCATCAGCAGCGGTTCCACGCGAGATGCGCGGCCGACGGCTACGCGTCATCTACTGCGTCGTCGCGCTGCTGTTTTGCGTCGCGTATCTACTGCAGTATTTGTCCATCGTCGGTGTCGCGCCCCGTGGCGACAGGACGCACCTAACCGGTTACCGGGACGGAAGAGCTACCCACGCAAAGCCCAGTAACCGGACCGTCGATGCGTCGCCGCCAAGAACGCGGCAGGCGGCCGTACCTAGATTCACTGTCGTCATGATGACGTATCGACGCAATGACCTGCTGCGCATGGTACTGACTAACTACTCCAAGATGGCGTTCATATACAGAATTATTCTGCTCTGGCATAATCTGGGTATATATGTGTTCTATGATTAATATCAGTAGTAGTTTATGAGAATAATAATAATAATAATAATAACAATAATAATAATAATAATAATGTTTCATTATTATCACAATTTTTTGTCTAGTCTTGATATCAGAGTTATTAGCGTAAACAAGTTTCATGTTATCTGGTCATATTTCAGAAGAAGGCGGTGAAAACGTAGCGCATCTCACTCGTCCATCAAAATGCTCTTACAGTTAGCATCATCATCGGATGTTATATTTGTCAATATGTAGTGATACAACCTTATATTTTTATTAAATATATATATATTCTTACTTAAATTTTACTATATAACTATTAAATGTTCTTACTTGCTTATATATTTCTACTTATTATTTGTAAAAATTTGGCGTAATTTTTTATTTACCGTACACCTAGTAATTAAGGTGGCTTATTAAAGGTTAAAGCGGAAGTATCGCGTTTCGCGTGCGCTTTCAGGATGTATGCTGTATAAGCCGTTCGTTTATGTTAAAAAAACACAGGCGAAGAGGTGCCAGATTTTCCATATGATATCGCCAAAGGCGCCGGCAAAGAACTGATCGTGATTCGACCCGAACGAAATCTGCTGAGTAATCGAATGCGATTATCTGCCGATCTCATGACTGAAGGTAAGAATGAAAACATTGAATGAAATATAGAGATAGATTTAGAGAAATAGTGAGAGTGGTGGGTGTAGGGAGAGCAGAGAAAGAGAGAGAGAGAGAGAGAGAGAGAGAGAGAGAGAGAGAGAGAGAGAGAGAGAGAGAGAGAGAGAGAGAGAGAGAGAGAGAGAGAGAGAGAGAGAGAGAGAGAGAGAGAGAGAGAGAGAGAGAGAGAGAGAAGAGAGAGAGAGAGAGAGAGAGAGAGAGAGAGAGAGAGAGAGAGAGAGAGAGAGAGAGAGGAGGAGGAGGACGAG